TCCTGTGATGGCAAAGCTGAATTTTCAGCATCATTACTCCAATCTTCAGTGTCACATGATTCTTCAGAAGTCATTCTAATATACTGATTTGCAGCTCAAGAAGCATTTATTATTATTATCAATGTCAAAAACATTTTTTTCAGTATTCTTTGATTAATAGAAAGTTCAAAATAATTGAGCATTTAGCTGAAATAGAAAGATTTTGCAACATTATAAATGTAATTCCTGTTACTTTTTGGTCAAGTCAGGGTGGGTTAAGCACAGGAAAATTTATATTATAAGGCATAATCTGTTTTTGCCCTTGTTATCCATTGTTGGCCGTGTTTCTTTGACTGGGAGTTCTGTGTATACATACATTCATGTACATCCAAAAGTCTAACGTCTGATGTTTTTATCGCATAGCCTATATAAAGACACTGACAGCATCCTACATCACAGATAGCCTCTGCTGAGGAGACTATAAAGGCAACTGAGTGCTGATGGACCATTTCATCAAAAGCTATTCTATCATTCACAGATATCCGGCGCTCCCTTGAGAGAGATCTGAACGTGTAGGCATTTTCCCATCCTCTCCCCTCATGAAAATGCTGATGATTTCATGAAGGAGAATGACAGAAGCACTCTGAGAGGGTCCATAAATAGCAGTGGGTAGTGAGGTTGATGGGCCTAGCTAGGAGTAGGGATGGATTACTTAATGAGCAAAATAAATGGCCACTCAATCCATCCACAAACACAGTTTGTCTTCACCTGAATTCCCCTCTGACAGCCTGTCCTCCTTAAACAAATGTTCACTTCTGATGTAGTGTGCCACGCACTAGATTTATTGTGTGGTGTGAAGGAGTTAGTCTATCCTGTCATAGACGTATCATTCCTGCAGGTGGCACCACATACAGTAACACATAGATGCCACTGACACTCTTATAATGTGAAAATCTCTGAAAAGGTAATGTAATGTATTCTACTTCATATTAATTCAGCTGAAAACATTTGATTTTGACGTTTTATATATTTCATTGATTCAGTGCCAATTCTGCTTTGTGTCCCGAGCCTCAAGCTCATCATGCTTTGTTCATGGTAATTCAAATAGTACAAGCTATGCTATGCTCCCCAAACTGTCTCCTTCGATTAGAGACTGCTTCCCTGTGGCAAAATGTTGGTATTGCATTATCAGCTGGTATTATAGAGTTTGATGCCTGTAACTGTAAATACAGTGGTCTAAAAAGCCCAGTATAGTGTCAAATATAGTGAGACTTTACTATATAGTTTATCTTGGGACTAAATGGTTAAGAGTTTGATTTTTTTTCCAGTTGCAGAGCATTTTATGTATTTTAAGTCTCACTTAAATGTAGTTTTTGAGGTCACTGTATGTGTTTGAACATTTAAAAGTTTTAAATCTGTAGGATTTAATTTTTTTTTAAAAATAAGTCTATTCTGCTCACCAAGGCTACATTTATTTGATTCAAAATATATTTAAAAAAACTGTAATACTGTATATTTTAACACTTTAAAACAACTGTTTTCTATCTAAATATATTTTAAAATGGAATTTATTCATGTGATGGCAAAGCTGAATTTTCAGCATCATTACTCCAATCTTCAGTGTCACATGATTCTTCAGAAGTCATTCTAATATACTGATTTGCAGCTCAAGAAGCATTTATTATTATTATCAATGTCAAAAACATTTTTTTCAGTATTCTTTGATTAATAGAAAGTTCAAAATAATTGAGCATTTAGCTGAAATAGAAAGATTTTGCAACATTATAAATGTAATTCCTGTTACTTTTTGGTCAAGTCAGGGTGGGTTAAGCACAGGAAAATTTATATTATAAGGCATAATCTGTTTTTGCCCTTGTTATCCATTGTTGGCCGTGTTTCTTTGACTGGGAGTTCTGTGTATACATACATTCATGTACATCCAAAAGTCTAACGTCTGATGTTTTTATCGCATAGCCTATATAAAGACACTGACAGCATCCTACATCACAGATAGCCTCTGCTGAGGAGACTATAAAGGCAACTGAGTGCTGATGGACCATTTCATCAAAAGCTATTCTATCATTCACAGATATCCGGCGCTCCCTTGAGAGAGATCTGAACGTGTAGGCATTTTCCCATCCTCTCCCCTCATGAAAATGCTGATGATTTCATGAAGGAGAATGACAGAAGCACTCTGAGAGGGTCCATAAATAGCAGTGGGTAGTGAGGTTGATGGGCCTAGCTAGGAGTAGGGATGGATTACTTAATGAGCAAAATAAATGGCCACTCAATCCATCCACAAACACAGTTTGTCTTCACCTGAATTCCCCTCTGACAGCCTGTCCTCCTTAAACAAATGTTCACTTCTGATGTAGTGTGCCACGCACTAGATTTATTGTGTGGTGTGAAGGAGTTAGTCTATCCTGTCATAGACGTATCATTCCTGCAGGTGGCACCACATACAGTAACACATAGATGCCACTGACACTCTTATAATGTGAAAATCTCTGAAAAGGTAATGTAATGTATTCTACTTCATATTAATTCAGCTGAAAACATTTGATTTTGACGTGTTATATATTTCATTCATTCAGTGCCAATTCTGCTTTGTGTCACGAGCCTCAAGCTCATCATGCTACACATACGGCACAGTTTTTGGTTAATTTTGAGTTGGATGTAATGTAAAAGTAATAACTGTGAGTCAAATGAATTCATAAACAGCTCTGATTTACTAAAAAAAGTCCCAGTTCATAAGAATCATTCACCTGGGAATCGGGCTACACTGCATTTTTTGATTCACTAAAATTCACTAAAGAGAATCGGCTCATAGGAGTCATTCATTAGGGAATTGGACTACTGGTTGTGCTCACTGAACTATATAAATGTTCTCTATTATAGATCAGTGGTTGTGCTGCATGTTTGTGATTCATTAAAAAGAACCATCTAAATCAGTGGTTCTCAAAGTGTGGTACGAGTACCCCTAGTGGTATGCAGAGGAATCACAAAATTAAATATAAATTAATGTTAAAACACAATACATTTTAATTGAATCTTTATTTGAGTAAAGTTTTTTTTTTTACATTTAAGTACAGTTTTTATTGAACTTTTAGGTACAACACATTTTAATTTAATCATTATTTAGGTTTTTATTTACCTGTATGTAAGCACAGTGCAGTGTTAATGTTCAAACTGTGTATTTACAATGTTGAAGTGGCTGACAACTATAAATATTCTTATTAGCAATAAAACTGCCTCGTTTTTGAACTGTGCAGAGCTGTAGCCGAATAGTTAGGTCTACTGTGCTACTGTATTTAAATGTTGGTCATTATGGTGGTACTTGAAGGGCCAAATATTTTCTGAGATGGTACTTGGTATAAAAAGTTTGAGAACCACTGATCTAAATCATTTCCCAGATAGCACACGTCTGCAAGATGTCTGTTAAAGATCACTTGATCTGGACAGCATCTGCTGTGTATAAACATCTTAAAGACATCTAATAGACGTCAATTTGACATCTGATACGAGACGTCCTATAGACGTATTGCAGATGAGCACTAAAAATATGTCAAATAGACGTCTCCATGATGTATGTGTGCTAACAGGTTTGTGAATTGTGGTAACATTTATTCACACTTGGGTACACTTGCATTAATTCACATTTGAGATCAGGAATTTTTCTGCGTATCATTTTGCCAGTAGGTGAATTTTATGAGTGAGTCATTTGAACCATTCATTCAACCGATTTGTTTACAAACTCTGATTCATTCATTAATGAACACTCAACAGAATCATTCAAAACGTGGGTAAATCTGTTGCTACGTTCTAAATCGTATACATGATATAGGCTAGGCTAGTAGCCTACGTACGTTGGCTTTAAAACTGACTTTGCTATTATTAAAAAAGTATGTTTTATACCTATAGTATAAATGTGCGTAGTGTGAGTTAAACAGAACAAAACATTACAAGACTGCCAATTTCGACAGTGTTGATTAATTTTTTTAATGATTTTTTTTCTTGTCATGTCCGAGAACCTATAACGAAAATCAAAAGAACCGATTCTGAATCTTATTTTTAATAACATATGATCCCAAGTCAGCTGTAGAGGTTGCATTGCCTATGTTTTTCTGTGGAGGTGTCTTATCAAGGCCCACGTTTCTGGGTGGAATCAGGGTGTGTATGTCTAAAATGTGTCTGAAAATGCCCTCTGAAAGACTGGCTCCTCTTTGCAGATAACTTTGTTCTTTGGGCCCTTAAGTATGACATCATAATGGATGATCATACAGCAGCAGGAAGTGTTATCTGTGACATGTTCAGTCGCAATAACCTCAAGTGCACACAAACACACATTTTCAGGCACACACACACTCCATCCTACTCTTTCCCAAAAGACTGCTTTTTATCTACACAAGACACACACACCCATTCATATCCAGAAGCAGTCCCTGAAACCTCAGGGGGGATAAGTTGTGTTTGCAGTTAAAAAGGACTGTCTCCAACTCAGGGGTAGACAGAGGGTTGTGGATATGGTAGAAGCTTTTGTTTTGTAAATCTATGAAAACAAGTGGAATATATTTTATAACAGTCACTTGAGTATTTGAATCTGGATCCTTTGGCTGAACCCACTGAAAGTAAGTCTAGTATAATTGTATACTGTATTGAGATTTAAGAAAATTCTAAGTAAGTTGTTGTAGCGGTAGAGTCTCACTTGTATAATACTAAACATTTGTTTATCAAGTTTTAATCTTTCATAGGAGACTATCAGATGTGTATTTTATTTATTGATTTATTAAATAAGACAGCATATTTTTGCATTATTTTATGAACTATTTATCTGATGATTAACTGATCAATAAATACATAATCCACATTTCTACTTTAAGCTATGTTTTAGGTGCACATGCATGTGTAGTATTTTAAATACTCAACTTATATACAAAAACAAATGCATTGTATTAAAAAAACCCACATTTTGCTTTGCCCTTCAGTTGTGTCTGCCTGGTTTGGACTGCGTTAATTGGACAATGTGCCGGGTTCTGAACATCCTGTTGGCTCTTCTGAGTCGCTTCCTGTTTGCGGTGCATGGCATCCTGACGGTGTGGCGTGTGGTGGAGGTGACAGGACAGCCCTCCTATTGGCTGCTGCTGACGGGTGTGGCACTGCTGGGGGTGGAGATGACCATCACTATCAAATACACACGCAACGCTGAATGGAAATGGTGAGGTTATGCTATCATAGACATAAATATAATGACCCTGACATCACTGAAATTCTTGCAGAATTTTACATAAATAGTAGTGCATAGTGCTGTAAATGAATCCTATCTGTTGCAAAATTAAAAATAATAAAACAGAACTCTTATAAAATAGATATTTGTTTCATGAAGTCCAGATATACAGCACACTACAGCTTAAAAGTTTGGGGTTGTTAAGATTTTTTGGTAACACTTTAGAATAGGGAACACATATCCATTATAGGAGTTTTCCCTCAATAAACTCTTAATTTGCTGCTTATTAATAATTAATAGTTAATTAAAAATTAATAGTTATAAGGTAGTTGTTAAATTTAGGTATGAAGTTGGATTAAGGGATCTAAAATACAGTCATGCAGAAAAAAGCATTACTGTTTATGTACTTTATAAGTATTAATAAATGGCCAATATGCTAGCATGCTAATAAGCAACTAGTTAATGGTAAGAATTGGTCCTTAAAATAAAGTGTAAACGATTTTTTAAAAATATTTTGAAAGAAGTCTCTTATGCTTACCAATCCTGAATTTATTTGTTCAAAAATAAAGTAAAAACCGTAATATTGTGAAATATTATTACAATTAAACAAAATTTCTGTTTTGTATTTTAATATATTTTAAAATGACATTTATTCCCGTGATGGCAAAGCTGAATTTTCGGCACACAATCCTTCAGAAATCATTCTAATATGCTTATTTGATGCTGAAGAAATATTATTATTATTAATGTTGACAACAGTTTTGCTGCTTAATATTTTTAAGGAAACCATGCTACATTTTTTTCAGGATTCTTTAATGAATAGAAAGTTTAAATGAACAGCATTTTTTAAATAGACATTTTTTGTAAAATTCAAAATTTCTTTACTATCACTTTTGACGATTCACTGAATCTTTGCTGAGTAAAAGTATGAGTAAAAGTATGAATTTCTTTCAAATAACAAGCAAAACGTTTGAAGACTAAAGGGGTGGTCCACTGTTTTTTTCTAGGCTTGATTGTGTTTATGGGGTGCAGTCTAACATGTGTTAATGCTTCGTTTTTAAAAAAAACGCATTATTTTTCACATAATTTACCTTTATTCCACACCGCTTTGTCCCTTCTCTGAGAAACACACTGATCATTTCCTGCTTTTATGAAGCCCCGCCTTCAGAAATAGGCGATGGGCTCTGATTGGTTAGCTAGCCCAGTGTGTTGTGATTGGCTAAACCGCCTCTAGTGCGTGTCTGAATGTCCCGCCCCTCACCTCAGCGGCATGTGCTCCGGTTGTATTGTAAACAACGGCGTCGTTAAAGGGATTATTCACCCAAAAATGTCCCCCCCCCCAGGGCATCCAAGATGTAGGTGACTTTGTTTCTTCAGTAGAACACAAAGAACGTGTTCGTGTCTTCTTCTTCAGCCGGCGCATGACGCGTATTCTTCTTCTTCTTGCTTTATGGCAGAATGCACTTATAAGTCTGCGATCCATCATAAAGCAAGAAGAAGAAGACGACTCGTCACGCACCGGCTGAAGAAGAAGACACAAACATGCTCAGGACACGCTCAGGACAGTTCGGACATTGCAGTAAATCAGAGGTAAAAAATTATATAAATACTGTTCAGTTTCTTGCACAGAACGATCGTTTCGTGTCTTTACACATCAATGTATCGTCACGAGCCACAGGGTTTAATTTGATTTTGTTTGTGTATGTTTTTTTGACTCTCAAAGCCGTGATTCCCATTCACCTCCATTATATGACTGACAGACTGCAACGGTTTGAGTTAAAAATCTTTGTTTGTGTTTTACTGAAGAAACAAATTCACCTACATTTTGGATGTCCTGGGGGTAAGCAGATAAACATCAAATTATCATTTTTGGGTGAACTATCCCTTTTATATCGCTTATCAGTTTGAGCCCAATTGAGAAGAAAATAATATTATTGTGGAGGATCGTGCAGAACCTGTGCAGGCAAGCCTTTTAATGGTAGGCCTATGTTTTTTGTTTGTTGTTGTCTCATACTTTTAGATATGCTGTTATTTGTAAATGCTACTGCTTATTAGCTTTTAATATACAGTTTTATCCTGATTAAGGCTTTATTACAGTACGGCAACTGCACGCGCGTTCATGTTTAACGCTTCTCATAGCTATGTGAAAATAAGTGTATAATTGGAACAGTTCATTGTTAGAGCTGAGCTGAATGAGAGAGAGTGAGAGAGAGAGAGAGAGAGAGAGAGAGGGCGTGTGCAGAGCAGGGGGACACAAGGAACAGTATTAAGAACTGCTGCTTTAGAACATTAATTTTGAAACTTGTGAATCCATTAGAATCGTTAGAAGACAGAATCGCAAACCCGGGAAGTAACTTGTTGTAGTCCCTACAAGCCGTTTTTGTTGGCATTAAACTGCCAGAATTTAAAAAGACGATATCTCCGTTTGCATTGAACTTTCAGCTTCGTAACTTTGCAGATATTGTTTATGCTCAAACAGCAGCATTACACACTAACTAATGTTAAAAAAGTGAAATTGCAATCAACCACCCCTTTAAGATAACGATGTTATCTGTTAAACGATGAAGATTAACAGCAAGGCAATCGATTTCTAATGACATGAACAGATTTTTGAGGCATTGCACATGTTTCAGGTCTTTGACCTAATCAGCCACATTATATTTGCTTTGTAGATTTAAAAATACTGTATATAATTTATCCAACAATTAATTTATCATAGAAATAACATCTTTTGTGAAAGAAAAAAAAAGAGTTTGGAATGACAAGTGGGTGAGTAAACAAAGGCAGAATTTTCCTTTTTTGGTGAACTAATAAGGACTCTTTTCACTGACTGTGAAGGACGTGTTGTGTTTGGCAAAAATAGCTTTACCAATTGTCTCAACAGTCTCAGAAAAAAGAAAATCCGTTTTACCTTTTTAAACTAACTTTACTGAGTTACTCCAAATGTTCTGGTACAAAAAGACGCAGGGCTCAGAATCAGGGTGCCATAATAATGATTAACGCTAACAAAAATGTGGGAAATTACACTCTTTTCTTCAAGCTCAACACTTCAGTCTGTCTTGCGGGGATGGGTGATAATAATAACCCCTTCTCTCAACACAGAAAAAAAAACCTTTGCATTCACACAGAGCAGCACATCATCACATTCAGTCAGACTTTAAAAAAGGCATGTACATTGAGATCGCTGTGCTAGGAAATTTATTAATGAGACTCTGCCCTCCCACTGACATGGACGGAGGACCTGTTGAGAACTTCCTCCTTCCCTCTGCTCTACCATGATCTCCATCTGAACCTTTCTATCTCTCCTTCTCTGCCATACTACTTTTCTATGCATACTATCTCTCTCCTGCACACTACACTTTGAAGTCTCTGTGCTCTTTAGAGAGGCTTGCCTGTGTCAGTGGGGATTTGCATAGCTAATGGGAGTAATTTGCAGTTTGCGTTGGGCTGATGTGCCTGCAGCACCGTACTCTGTGGTGTGACCCAGCTTTACCACCCAATCAGAAGAATCTGACACACATACAACTGTTTAGTGACTTTACTGAGTATAGGCATGTTCATCCAACCATCCATCTGTTAATGTGATGTTCCACTCTTCTGCAGGTTCTCACCTATGGTGTTTCTATATCTGAGCACTGTGATTCCCTCAGTCTGGTTCCTGGAACTGAACCTCCTACAGTCCAATCTGCCCATCAACTCGAGCACAAACTCTGACCCGCAATTCTTCTCCCAGATCCCGCTAACAATGGTGGGTGGAAAACAATCGTTAACAATAAATCTCTGACTTGACCAGAAAAAAGAAGTTCAGCTTTGAACAAAATCACTCAGGATCTCTGTCTGTCTTTGCTGTGTTGGGTGTTTTAGTCCTCATATTTCTGTGAAAGCAATAAACATAACATGCTCAGATGGAAATATGCATAGAAAGCAGACTATTTTCTGTAAAATGTCTGCAATTCTGGGGAAAAAACGAATGTGGAAGATTAATAGATTAAGAGTGGTAGAAAGCTCAGGTTCACCTTTGACCTGCAGACCTTGTACAAAAAGCACAAACCCACACACTAATAATCACAGCACCACGGATCTGAACATTCCTGTAACACTGCCTGTCTACAGCAGTTACCAGGGCCTGTAGATTCAGGCATAGAAGTCTTTATTGCAAAATTTTATATTGAAGCATGTCCAATAACTTTCTCTAATAATCAGACCAGCAAAATTAAGATATTTCTTAGCATTAAAAATTTAATTAACAATTAAGTTTCTCAAATATTTTCTTAAGTTTATCATCATTTTTGTCTTAAGAATAAAATGACAGGCTTTAATGCTATCTAACTAAAAGTTGTCTAATACAACAAATTCTACTTAATCACTGATAAATCTTAACAATAAATTGGTTTAAATTTAATATAATTTTAAAGGGCATTTTTGCCTCCACACAGATTTTTATTAAATTAATTAAAGTTTGCTAAGTGCTAAGAACGTTCTTAAGAAGTAACTTCTTAAGTTTAGGGGTAGTTCACCCAAAAAATGTGTCATCATTTACTCACCCTCATGTCATTCCAAACCTGTATGAGTTTCTTTCGTATGTTGAACATGAAAGAAGATATTTTGAAGAATGCTGGTATTGAGATAGTTGATGGTCCCCATCTTCCATAGCATTTTCCCCAACTATGGGAAAGTCAATGGGGACCAACAACTGTTTGGTTCTTCAAAAATCTCTAAAAAATGTCTTCTTTTGTGTTCAACATAAGAAAGAAACTTATGCAGGTTTGGAACAACATGAGGGTGAGTAAATGATGACAAAATGTTCCTTTTTGGCTGAACTATTCCTTTAAGTTTATATCCAAGCTCCAGTGTTTTATAGTTACATAAAATGGTTACACATTGTAACTTGATCCTGTCTGAGGTTTTTAAAGGTTTAGACTTTACCTTCTCCTTCTGACAGCTTTGTATCTGAATAATCAGAATATTTTTAAATATCGATGACTGTGATAATTGTTTTTTTGTCGCGACTTTGTGTGGGAGGAAAGCTGAGTATTTTATAAGAATATGCTGCAAAAGCTAATCAGTGACTTTACTGAAAAGCTTTTTTGAAACCATATCATCTCAGTTGTCCTCTTTCATTAAGTTAATCCTCCAATGGATCTTTTGTTCAGGCACTCCAATGAGTCAAAGCAATCATTTTTCCTTATAAACTGTTTGAACCTTTTTAATCTGGTGCTACAATAACATCTTAAAAACAATTTTGATTCATCCATTCAAATGATCACAGTCTCGCTATGTGCTCTCACTGTCTGGTCTGTTACCATGGTGATTAGCCTATTTGTGTGTGTGTGAGACAGGGGTTGGCAGAACTTGATCCTGAGAACTGGGTGGAGGCTCTGGAGCAGACCATGTTGATCGTTTTGGTTCTGGGCCGCTGGCTGATGCCGAAGGGCGATATGTCACGTGACCAGCTATCCCAGCTCCTCATGGTTTACGTGGGGCTTGGAGCTGATATCCTGGACATCTTTGACACGTTTAAGGAGCCACAAGTGAAGACCAAGCAGGCCGTGATCATTGTTGGGCTAAGTTTATTCTCCTGGGCCTTGATGCAGTTTCCTCTTGTTCTTACCCAGACCAGCCGTCCCAAGGTCCAGGTGGAAGTTCAGTCAGAGACTGCCCAGCCTGGGCAAGTTGGTTGGACCGTTTCCTGTTGCTCTAGTGAAGTCTGGAGCCTTCTGCTAACGGTGGGTCTGCAGGATGGACCATTCCTGATTTACCGTCTGTACCTCATGATACGTGAGAATGTTCTGAACCAGCTGATGATCTTCTTCACATGCAAGAACATCCTCATTGTTTTGCTGGAGGTCTACAGGATCTGTGTTGTCCACTTTGAGCAGAGCAATCCAGGGAGCAGAACCGAGTCATGCGACCCGTCTCATGAACACTCAGAATGGACTCATGGAGAGGCTATAGAATCCAGCTGTCAAGAATAGATTAGATTCACACTTACTGAAAATCTATCTATCTATCTATCTATCTATCTATCTATCTATCTATCTATCTATCTATCTATCTATCTATCTATCTATCTATCTAATTAAAAAAAGTGCCTTGTATGGTTAAAGTTTTTGGAAGGTTAAACTTACTCAAAATGTATTTTTATCAATTAGATTCAAAGCTTTAGATTCTGAGATTGTATTATTTAAAAATCTGACCACCAGCATGGACAGCACAATACAGCACAATTGGTAGCGGCTGCTATACCACGCGAGGCCAGCAGATGGTAGTGTGAACAAACTCAATGTAAGGGCAGAGCTCTGATGAAATACGGAAATTGTTCTGGAGATCACGACGCCTCTTCAACTGTACATTGACGCACACCGGACTCATGGTAGAATCCAGCTGTCAAGAATAGATTAGATTCACACTTACTGAAAATCTATCTATCTATCTATCTATCTATCTATCTATCTATCTACTGTATCTGTCTATCTATCTACATTGTCTGTCTGTCTGTCTACTGTATCCATCTGTCTGTCTTTCTGTCTATCTATCTGTCTGTATCTATCAATCTGTCTGTCTGTCTGTGTCTATCTATCTGTAAATCTGTCTGTATAGACAGAATTAAAAAAAGTGCCTTGTATGGTTAAAGTTTTTGGAAGGTTAAACTTACTCAAAATGTATTTTTATCAATTAGATTCAAAGCTTTAGATTCTGAGATTGTATTATTTAAAAATCTGACCACCAGCATGGACAGCACAATACAGCACAATTGGTAGCGGCTGCTATACCACGCGAGGCCAGCAGATGGTAGTGTGAACAAACTCAATGTAAGGGCAGAGCTCTGATGAAATACGGAAATTGTTCTGGAGATCACGACGCCTCTTCAACTGTACATTGACGCACACCCTCCGCACACAGCAACCCGTGACATTTCAGCATCTAACATCAGATCAATAGGTAACAAATCAGTTCCTGAGTGCTTCCTGATGTTTGGGAAGGATCTTTCCACGGCTGTCTCTTTACTCAAATTTCAAGCCTTCCTTCTTGCTCAGAACTCTTGTATCTTTTTGACGGTGACATGTTTGATTGAAGTACTGTCATGAAAACCAAAATAGCATGCTAAAAAATCTGTGAGATTGGAATACACGGCTCCTGTCAATCATGCGATTAAAAGCAGGAAACACAAATGTGGTTCATTAGAATGGCAGATAATTAGGATATCAGTAAGAGTAAAAACCATAATGTACCGTCATGATATCTATCTATCTATCTACATGTTATTGTTTGTTTTGACAAGCTCTCAGATAGCTGGCCAAGCTAAAAGAGAGAAAGAAACCTGACAGACGTGAATAGAGGAAGACAGAGAGGGAAACACCTCAAAGAGAGCTCTGTCATTAGTGCTGTTCTGTCACAAAATCTTTCATTCCTGTGATGGCTGACAGTGCCTGTGACAAAAGAACCAGACAAAAACTCTCTCTCTGTCTCTGTCTCTCTCTCTGTGTACTCGGCTCTCCATTAAAATAAATCAGAAACAATTAAAGTCCCCTGAGAACAACGTAACACAATGAAACTGTCCTGCATCTTTTCCTGCCACCCCTTGGCTCCCCAGAGAGCACATTCTCATTTTCAAAGTCCTCTGCCCAAAATTGCGTGCTCTGTGGATACTGTAATGTGCTGGATACAGCGAGGATGGAGAACGAGAGAGAGCGAGTGAGAGTAGGAGAAAGAAAAAGGTAAAGAAAGGAGAGTGAAGAGCAGATTGTTGGAGGAGAGAGATGAACTGCATGCTTTTAATGAGATTTGAACTCGTGGGAGGAGACACGTCAGCTGATCAAATGGTTAAACAACGACCTGCCCTAGATAGACAGAAGAGAAGCGAAGAGAAAAGGAAAGTGTGCAGCTATGAATGGTTTGGAAAGGTTCAGATCCAAAATGGAAGAAAGTTCCTTTTTGTTCAAAAGGTATGGAAAGATTCAGAAAGGAAAGTGCAGGGATTTCCAGTTTGGAAAGGTTCGAAAAGGTTCAAGATTTCAAGGTTCAAGACTTTTCTCATAACTTTCTTTTTCAGGACACAAAAGAAGATATTTTGATGGATGTTTTAACACATTTGTGCACCTTATGAAATGGAGTTCAAAACGACATTCAAAACCCTCTTAACTTCCAATGTATGGACAAAATATAATTTTTGAATACTGCAGGGGAAAGTCATACAAGTTTGGAATCACATGAGAATGAGTAAATGATGACAATATTTTCATTTTCGGGTGAACTAATAGAGAAAACACACAAACCTGTAAATACTTATATAATAATATTCTTTCATTTAAAACACATAATATTCTCAAGTAATGACTAGCTTTAAATGAGCAGGTGCATACCTGTAGAACAACACTTGACAAGAATCACATGCCTAACTTTTCCTCTGATTCACAACGCATACATAAGCAGCACATATGTGAAAAAAGCGGCTTGGAACTGCAACAGCGGGCTCACATTGTGCTGTCAATGTGAAACAGGCCTTAAAAATCCACTCGCTGCCTCAAAACTCCATCTGTACTAAGAAATTTGATCAGTTCTTGTTACTGTCAGTACTTTTTTACCAAGATATAGAGTAATAGCACTTAACTTGAACTATTTTATGGCATATTTATAAATGATTGAAGCTGTATGTTAGCGACTGGGAGCACAAAGCACCAAAGTGGTGCAATGTGACAGCTATACATTACAATCTTAAGTAATCTGACAGTAAATGCCACTGTTTTGTAATACATTTATAAAATACATTTATTTCTCTCGTATAAAATCAAATTCAACTTTCTGCCTATTTCCCCCCCTCGGGCTGATCTAAATCGTCTTCAGTCATCACACGTGTATTTTGCATAATTTAAGGCTCATACATCATGAGCTGTCCATCACTTTCCCTGGGGCTTTTTATCATGATTCAACATATGATGGCATTAACTCTCTTTTTCCACCCACTCTGCTGCTCACCCACTGCATTGCACTCACCCGCTGCCACTGCCATGGCTACCAATTAACAGATTTTAAATATTTAAATTAAAAATAATTTTTTTTTTTAAACATAACTTTGACTATGGCTATGTTCACACAGTATGTGTGTGGGATTGACAACCATATTTAACAGGCTATAAACAGGCCATTCATATGAGCGTGTGTTTCCACTGTGCTACTTTTCCATGTGGCTAAACGTGCTAGACAGGCACGTTGATCTGGCTTATTGCTACTTTTGCAGCGGCATGGAGTTCTAAAAGAATAGTTCTCAAGTTAAAAGAAACTTTCAACTTTTAAAAAACACGTAATAGGCCCATCAAATGCCTTGTCCAAATACACACACTTGTGGTCTTTGCACTTGACCACTGGACTACTTATATGACGTATTTCCTGTATTTGGTCCAACTGTTCAAGTGAGCATAAAGACCACAAGTGTGTGTACAACTTTTCATTACCTGATGGGACACACTTCTAGTGTTGTAAAAACGCAAGTGTTTACAGTGTTTTATTTTTATTTTCAATACGTTTCATTTTAAAATCAACTTCTAAATGTCTGTTCAGTAGTCCCTATAACAGATGACACAATTTAAAACTGGTGCTTCTAATTAAGTGATAAAAAGCAGTTGCAAATGTTGTATAAAAATAAATATACTAATCTTTGCAGCAATAAAATGTGTAGCACTTCGTTTTACTACCAAATTATATGTAATATCTTATTATTATTAATATTTAACTTATATTGGAAAGGTTTCCGTGACCTCATGCGATCTTGGCAAAAAGTCTCACGATTTATTTCCAGAACATGATGCATGATGGGATACTCTAAGCCTCGAATACCGCTCCAGAGTGTGGAGATAGTGAGAGTGTGCGTTATGTGCGTAAGTTCACACTACACGACTTTAAATGTCGGCAGACTACATGACTTGATTGTCTGTCTTTAAGTCGTTGTGGTGTTCACACTACACTCTTAAAAATAAAGGTGCTTCACGATGCCATAGAAGAACCTTTTTGTCTAAATGGTTCTATAAAAAACCTTTAACATCTGAAGAACCTTTCTGTTTCACAAAAGGTTCTTTGTGGCGAAAGAAGGTTCTTCAGATTTCAAAAAGCTAAGAAAGAGATGGTTCTTTAAAGAACATTTGACTGAATGGTTCTTTGTGGAACCAAAATGGTTCTTCTATGGCATCACTGTGAAGAACCTTTAAAGCACCTTTATTTTTAAGAGTGTATGTGACTCTATGTAAATGATCCGCAACCAGGGGTTACACACTACACAAGCTGACAACTCTGTCACCCAAAAACTCTACAAACCACGTTTTGTCATGAAAACACACGCGAGAATTGGAACGGGAATGACGCGAAACAGGACCGAGTTTGGACAGCCCTGGTGTAACAGAATATGTTGACGTGCTTTAATGTTCAAAAAACACATTATGTTTCAAATACTGTACATTATTGTAGTTCCTCTATGCCCCGCCTCTCTCAAACGCATTGTTTTCTACAAAGCCCCTCCTTCCGACAAGCACAGTCTGCTCTGATTGGCCAGCTGACCCAGTGCATTGTGATTGGCCGAACAGCACAAGCATGTGTCGGAAATGTAACGCCCCTTTCCATAATCGCGAGCTTCAGCTTTCAACATAAATGTCAGTTGAAAGGACAGTAAATAATGTCCTTAGTTTTACCATCAGTTCGAGCCCAAAAGGGGAACAGAGTCACGTGACAGACACAGTGATGATGCTCGTATGTATTTGCAGTACACAAGACGCGAGTAAGAAAGCTGGCTCCACTGTGATGTGACCTCTCTCTGTGTCTCTCTCTCTCACGCACGCACACGCACACCCACACACACACACACACACACGACGTGATACTCAACACGGCGCAAAACTCCATATTTGACCAGTCAATAGCAAATACTTAAACTATTAAGAAAACATACTTACAGTAGCTGATTCAGAATAAGCGCCAGATTGTCATA